TAAGAAAAAATTATCTTTAAAATATATTTTATTAATAAAATAAAGAAAAAATTATGTGTAAAAATAGCTAAAATGGTCATCTATAGTAACTTCAGCCAATACAGCTAGAAAAGTAACATCAACCTTATTTTTTCTGCTTATTACACAATTCAGCGCGCGAAAGCAAAAATTACGTGTTTGGTGAAAAAGTTGGCTGATAAGCCTGATAAGCTGAAAAACTTGCCAAACGGACTCGTAATGCACATATCTTTCTAGGATTTTCTGCATTTTCCCATGCATGTTGCTGCATCTTTGCCTACGTGTTCCGTCACTTTTTTTTTCAACTCTCACTTTTGTGTAAGAGAAAAAAAGTACTTTGTATGTGACTAATAACAAGAAGTAGTGTTGTTTCTCAAAAAGGAAAATCAGAATATAAGAGTTTCATATACGGAGTATTTATATATCCCTTTTAGGCTTAAAGAAGAGAACATGAAAGATATGAGCACGGAAGCACGAGAAAATGATCAACCTATGTAGCACCGATACCGGAAACGCGGAAACGCGGAAACGGGTACGGGGATACGTCAAAACAAAAAAAAGTAGGATACGAATACGGGGCCATATTTATAAATATTAAAAGTTATGGGGGTGTATTTACAAATATTAAAAGTTATAGGGGTCTATTTATAAATATTAAAAATAGATTTTTTTGAATATATATATATATATACATACATATAATATCCTATGATGTCTACCCATTCATTGCATTGAAGTATTTTCTTTTTTCAAGATACTTAGTAATAAATTCATAATATTTCTCATATACACTAGTGTATCTCGAAATATAAATGTAGTCAATAAGTCATTAATTTAAAATGTGAAATAAATCAAACAACTACAATCTTGAAAGTAAAAGTGCAAGTACCCACTTCGGGGTATGAGTTAATGACTTAATTCGGATATAGCCATATAGACCCATTATTTGATTACCAAGTAAAATGTAGTTTTAGATTTTCATTTTTTTTTTTGGAATTTTATTAAGTAAATTTTGGGAGTTTTTTTTTAAAAAAAATGGTTGATACGGGTATCCGTCAAGATACGAGTATCGGAAACTTTCAAAAAATTACAAAAAAAATGGAAACTTTTAAAAATTGCAGATACGGCCCGGGAACGTACGGTACGGGTATCTTAGAGTATCGGATACGGGAACGTATCCGATACGCCGATACGCTACCCTAGGGAAGTATCCGTGCTTCATAGTGATCAACCACAAGTAAAATGTTGCTCCTTACAAGAGTAACAAGTTATTTCCTATTATTATCATTTAAGGAGTTTATTAAGGAGTAGCAGAGAACAACAAAAAATTAATCACATATACAGTATATACTAAGGAGTTTAATGTTGGTGTTAAAGCCAAATGTATTGGCCGAAGTTACACCAACCTTATACAGTATTTTTAAAAGCCAAAAGGCACTTCTCACGTATACACCAACCTTATACAGTATTTTTCTCAACTTGGAGACAGCCAAATGTTCGCACATATGAAGTTATTTGCATTGTTGAGTCGTAGTAACTAAAATGTTATTAAATTTCGTTATTTAGTTGCACACAGGGGCGGAACCAGGGGGAGCGAGCCGGTACTGGCGCCACCCCTTCGCCGGAGATGTTAGGGTATATATATGTATAATCTCCCCAGCGCCCGGTCTTCTTCTTCCCTGCTCCTTGTGGTTTCCGGCGACCTTTGTGCTGCTTTTGGGAGATGGCCGATTTCAGTCTTTCAAAAGTCACATGAGTATAACATGATCCAAACGACACCGTTTTGAATAAGTACTAAAAAGAAATGAAACGACGTCACTCGTGCTGTTAATACGTTATCAAGCCAAAGCGGCCCAACCGCCTAAATGCTGAAATTGGAAATCCTAAACATGGGCGTAAGGTCTGCCGATAGGAGAAAGAGAAGCGTTTGGCCGTCTGTTACTCTACTGCGTCTCTATTGCCTCTGGTATACGTTTCAAAGTTACAGCCTACAGGAGTACACGTTTTTTGTTAATTTGTTCAAAACTTCAACTTGCTGCTACATATTATTTATTGTACTAATAGACTTTTAGTTATTCAATTTTCGATTATTTGGATTTGGGTTTCTTTCGAAGTTGCAATTAATATACGAAGTATTATGTAGCTAGTAATATTGAGGACAAAGTTGCAATTAATATATTTGGATTTGGGTTTGTTTCGATTTTGTAGCTATGAAGGTTGCGTTTCAGGCTTTGCCGCTTTGAGAATTGATACATAATTGTATAAACACTCGAAGAGAGTTATCCTTAATATCAATATTTGTCATTCTTTCTTTGTTTTTCAGACGAAAATCTCAATTTATTAGTCACTCTATACATGTATACATGAAGATCGTTAATAGTTCATCATTATTTGAGATAATTTGTCTTGCATTGATGAAATGACAAACTCAACTCACACCATTGCAGTTGAGTCACCAACTATGGTTGTACTCATTAGAGCATCTCCAATGTTATAATGTGCACAGTGCACATGTGGCATGAGTGATAGCCACATAAATATGAGCATATAAATTATTTATCTCCTTATTTGAATGATTTTATACAATTTTAGTAAGTTTTTCCCTGCAATGTCAACAATAATGTCAACATCTAGACGGTCTCCTTGACATTGTGGAGAAAAACTTACCAAAAATGTATAAAATCATTCAAATAAGGAGAGAAAGAATTTATTTACTAATATTTATGTGGTCATTTCTCATGCCACGTGTGCACCGTGCACATTTTACCATTAGAGTCACGTAAACCTGCATGAATAAATATTATAAAGGGAAATGAGCATTTGGTGAGTCGTCATATTATTAAACACAAAGCTAAAACTGTACATTCTTGTTAAGGGTCTGTTTGCAACAGCTTCTGCTTTTAAAAAAGTGTTTTTTTAAATAAAATGGGGAGAAGTGATTAAATAAAAGTTGATAGTGTTTGAGAAAAAAGTGATTTTGAAAAGTAAAAGTGGGTAGTGTTTGGTAAAATAAGTGCTTTTTGTGTAATAGAAAAAGTAAAAACACTTTTGACGCGGAAGTCGAGAAAAATAAAAGTTGTAGTGTTTGGGAAAATAAGTGCCTTTTTAAAGCCAAAAGTTGAGAAGTGCTTTTTTAAAAGCAGTTGCAAACCAACCCTAAATAAACAGTTTGTGATGACATGATAAAAAACCCTTGACATCTTTCCTATTATTTGCAATTGTTCTAATTTCTCTTCTAACATCTTCTACTTTTTCACTATTCACTACCCTATATTGTTTAACACTCAAACTCCATAAAAACCAACAGATACAACATTAGTCATTTCAACATTTAAAAACTAGTTTGGAAGTTCCATTATTGCGAATTGCCAAATTTTAAAATACGAAGAATAAATTAAAAGAAGTAAAAAAGGAAGACTTAATTAGCTTAGTAAACTAAAAGTAAGAATATAGGACACAAAATGGGACAGGGGAGGAAGGAGCTTTGTATGTCCGAAGTGTTTTGCAGAAAACAAAGTCGCTACTTAAACTGCATCTCGAAAACAAAAGTATCATAACTGTTGTTGTTCCACTGAGTTAATAAATCACTGAGTCCTTGTGATACTCTCCTCCCTCTAGTTTGTTCATCACAATATGGAACTATAAATCCATTATGCAAAATTTTCCTTATATAGCAGTATATGAAAAATAATATCCATCATCAAAATAAACATGTTTCGTGAAGGTCTAAACTATAGTGTTTGAGAGATCTCTCAACGCATCCGCATGAATGAATTGTACATCTCTTACTATGAACCCTGCACCCTTATTTTCCCCTTCTTCAAGAAATGACACCAAATCATTAGCACGAATGACTTGTACATCAGTGTTTATATAATGATAAAATTGAATATAGAAAGTGTCCATGACTCTTTCTATTTAAAATTCATTGACTACAAATCATATATACTAGCATTTGGATTTTTTCTAGAAAAATCATGCAATTTGCTGAAATATCTTATAGTTGAATGTAATCATTTTCAGAAAAATCATTTCTAACATCAACATAATATATTTCTGTTTCACGTAATATATGCTCTATATATAATATATTTGCATTACACAGCGAACTATTAAGCTATAGGAATTCATATATCAACCAAAAATCTCATCATTTCAATCAAGAAATGAACCCAAACTTAAACGAATCTATGCTGGTGAGGTAGTCAGAAACTTCTAAAGTAAGCATTCCGGTTGGTAGTCTTGTCCAATCAAGCATAAGTAAAGCAAACCGTTGTTCTTTACTGGCTGAATTGGAAGTGTCTAAAGTTAATCGGAACCGTTTAAATTTGAGCATCATCCTAACCTCACAATAAAAAAGATCCAAACTTGTGTTCTCTACTTTGTACGGTTGGCAAAATCGGGAGAAAGGGTAGCGTCTCATAGTCGAGAAGCCCTCTTTCCTTTCCTTCTTCTTTCTAGAACAACGCTCTTCCAACGGTCGAGGCATATGCCCGGATCCGATGAGATAGTAAAGACACAGAATAGTATATTAACTATGGGCAATGATTTTAATTATTATATTTGCATATAATTTATAAGTTTTATGTTTTTATGAAAAATATTTTGAATAAGAAACATTTTAATATAATTTGCATATTGAAACTAATTTCGTATTAAAAAATATCCTTGGTCAAAGCTGATTATCATTGACAAAGAAAAGTCAATTTGACAAACATTTTCGGAACGAAGGGAGTAGGAATTAAAGAAGTTGTAATTTATTACGGGATCTTGGCGGTTTTAGAGTGTAAGTAAGGGGTTGAATATAGAAAAAATATTATTATTCATATAAAAAAAATAAAAGTTTTGAACTTTTTAAAATAATTTTGAAAAAAATATTTAATATAAAAGTTGATATTATTCATATTATTCGAGAAAAAATTGATTTTGAAAAGTAAAAATGATAGGTGTTAATGTGAGGTCTTGTTTAAGGCAAAAGTTATGAAATTTTTAAGCGTTTGGAAAGGATGCCTTAAGAATAGCCCAAAATCCAAAATAGAAAAAGCCAATCACTTTTGAAAGCCAGAGTTGAGCGTCGATTCAATCGAAGGAAGCCTCCGTCCTCAGCAGTCGGCCAAGGCCACCTCCGTCCTCCGTGACCTCCGTCCTCCGTGACCTCCGTGTAAGCCTCTAGGGACGCCGTCGCAGCTTATATCAATTAATGGAGAATCCACAGCTTAAAGAGGTATTTTATATACACATCCCTGCATAATTCACCGGTGGTTTTCGGAAAAAATGGTTTTTTTTTGTTTGTTTTAAAGAAAAGTATGTTCTTTCAATTACGGGATTTTGTTGTGTTTTTACCTTCTTTGCCAGATATTAGAGAAGCAAGTGCTGACGGTAGTGAAGGCCGTGGAGGACAAGCTCGATGAAGAGATTGCGGCCTTAGATCGGCTAGATCTCGACGACATTGAGGTACTGAGGGAGCGAAGATTGCAGCAAATGAAGAAAATGGCAGAGAAGCGGAACCGTTGGAAGTCTCTCGGCCACGGGGAGTATTCGGAAATTATGTCTGAGAAAGATTTCTTCTCCATAGTTAAGGCCAGTGAGCGCGTTGTCTGTCATTTCTACCGCGACAATTGGCCTTGCAAGGTAACTGAACATGAAATGTCGATTTTTTTGATGAAATATGTGAGCATGTACTCCATGAAGTTTTTTCTTGAGAAACCTGAAGTTTAGATTATATCTGCCAAATTTCAGTTTAAAATTTCTACGGGAAGTCAATTAAATAAATTTCTGAAAACACTGCATTTTTATATATATGAAGCTGCACATTTTCCAATAATTTATTGAAAAAAATTCGACCAGGAAGCACTCAAATGAAAGAGCCCTAAAATTGTAACTTTAGGCCTAGTTTACATGAACATTTTCGTGTGTATATATATGTATACGTATCAGTGGTGAATATTCAATGTCTGTTATCTTCTAGATTCAAGCGGTTGACCTCATTTAAGTATAAAATTAGAATTAGAATTTTGTTATATTGCTTTAGAGAAATTTGGTGTGTAAATCTGCTATTGCTGGAAAGTTCTAGCTTTGGTTGCATTTCAGTTTTGAAGTTTCAATTTTTTTTCTTGAAATAAGCTGAAACTGCAATGTTGCACACGATTTACAGTTTTATCACTTTTATGCACATCAACTGACTTATCTGTTTTGGGTTCTTATTGAGAGATGTTAATAAGTACTGTATGATGACAGGTAGTGGATAAACATATGCGTATACTGGCAGAACAGCATATAGAGACACGTTTTGTTAAAATTCATGCCGAGAAAAGTCCATTCTTAGCCGAGAAGCTGAGGATTACTATTCTCCCAACAATCGCCCTCGTAAAAAATGCTAAAGTGGAGGATTATGTGGTATGTTGTGTATTGTGAAGATCTTTCATTCTTTGAATTATTTCGAGTCTGATAGTTTAAGGTTGCATTAGGCCAAAATTACTGAATTAGTGGTTGCTAGAGATGAAGTTTGCTGAAATAAGAAAAACTTTTAACTTGTATTTATCAAAATAAAGAAAAATACATTTACAAAGGCTGAAAAGATTATTTTTGAGCAACTTCAGCCAAGCAGTTACCTCATGTTACTTTTTTAGATAAAAAAATTACGTGGTACAAACTTTCAACAAGCAGATGAGCGCATTAGAGCCGGTTCAGTATACCCGTTGTCGGCTTACCAGCCATGCTTTTTACCACCACTAGCGTGTTTTACCATGCTGTCTGAATTGTCTTGTAATGAATGAAGTAATGCAGTTGTTACTTTTTTCGGACGAAATACTAGTCAAATTTATGAAAAGCACATTTCTATCTTCAACTATTTTTGTAATTTTTTCAAGAAATATATTTTATACAACATTTTAGATCAATAATTCTCCAAATCCAGTCATTTCAGCTAAAATGTTAACATATTTAGCAGTTTTCCACTTCAACCATTTTAGGTCTTGCCAAACAGAAGCTCTTAGGGTTTGGTATTAAGGGCAATGTTAAAGTGGGTATCAAACAACCAACTAAACTTGGCCATCCATGTGCTTTAATTGTGCTTGTTTTTTATACAGTGTATTGATTGTCATGTGGCTTCTGTTTTATGTGTTCTATATGTAGGTCGGATTCGATGAGCTTGGTGGAAAAGATGATTTTAGCACCGAGGAGCTAGAAGAGAGATTAGCCAAAGCTGGAGTCATCCATCTTGACACTGAATCATCTTTACATGCATCAAAATCAAAATCTAGGAGTGTTCGCCAAAGTTCAAATGTAGATTCGTCTGACTCTGACTAAATGGCAACTGAATATTATGTATTTTGTACCAAACTTCTATTTCGTCTAGACCTATTTAGCATAATTGTTTATTCCCCTTGTTTTGAGATTCTTAGAAAATATGGTCTTTCAGAAGTGATTTTGTGATTTCTCTCTGTACAACGTATTCATAATTCACTACTTCAATTTGTTTGAGATTAGGGGTGTACGTGTATCCAGAACCAGTCCAAACGGTTCTGGTTTCTCCAAAATAGGACTGAACCTGAAACATTCCCAGTTTTTAATTACTTTTTTCGAAAACAAGGTAAAGATGCTGACCAGAACTGGTCCAGGATCATACGGTACTGGTTACAGGTACTCCTATTTGAGATGTTATGTTTCAATATAAATGATTTGTATGAACATGACAGAGGATTCTTAGTTGTCTGCTGTCCAATTCGACCACAGTTTTTAGCCCAATGGTTCAGTGTAAGTAGGATTTCTCAAATCAAACAGCAGTGACCTTGAATGTAGTGACCCAATTAGGGGTGGCTCGGTTCCGGTCTGACCGGCTCGGGAACCAGACCGAACCGCCACTGTGCGGGACCGGATTGGCCCGGTTAACTGGGACCGTTTCCGGGCCTGAGACTGGCCTGAGGGATTGCTGGGGGTGGTTCCGGGCTGCACCTCCTTTGGAACCGGCCCAACCGGCCCAGGCCCAGTCCGAGTCCTTTTTTTTCAATTATTTTTTGGTGGTAGGCGGGTTGGACTGGGTGTTTTGGGGGGTGGGGGGTTGGAATTAATTAGAAAAGCTATAAAAAAAACCGATCCGAGCCTGGCCCGTAACCTACAAACAAAAAACCCGGTTTGGACCGGCCCGGAGCCCGGCCCGGAACCGGTCGATACCTAGACCCAATAGGCAATAGCGTGAACAGTAAACCTACATCCAATGACACACAAAAAATGTTAGCCAAAAATCTCGGGTTTAATGCATGAACCCCCCTCCCCCCGTGAAATATAAATTCGTCGCATTAGCGCCCTGCTATTTACTCCGCCTCACATCTAAGGATGTTTTCCTTTAGACTGAAATTTGCTGGTCTGGTAAACGTCTGGTCTGTATATTTTATAACTACGTAAGTCTGGTCTGATCTAGTCTGGTCTGATTTGATCTGGTCTGGTTTGAGACTGAAAACAGTCCAAAAGAAAATATCCTTAGTACATACTCCCTCCGTATCAAATTAATTGACCCGCTTTCCTTTTCGGGACGTATCAAAATAAAAGTCCCATTTTCCTTTTTGGAAATAAATCCACCCAAAAAGATGCTACAGTACTACTACAGTACCGCAACAGTACCAAAACCTCTTACTTTACATATATTTGCCTTAAACTACGTGAAAAATGATATGAGTCATTTAATTTGATACGAAGGGAATACAATTTAGGGTTCTGCTTTTTTGTCGCCTTTTAGAACACTGATATGGGATAATAAATGACTCTTGATTACCCCGGAGTAACATGGCATATGGATGTTCAAAAATGAGTAGGAATTTCTAGACTTATCTATGTTTTTAAGAGGTAAGGCCGTAACGCCGTTACGGTATGTCAATTCTTTGTCATTCCTTAAGTATCGTCGGTTGGAGCGGTGGAGCCCCAACCACCGTATCAGCCAACTCCCATTCCCGCGCTCTAGCTGCTGTTTTCCCTCCGTTTTTCAGACCGTTAAAACTGCTTTTCTTCAACATCTGCTCCTACTAAAACGCTTTTCGAAGCAGATTGGGAGCTAGCCATATCTTCCACCGCGAGAAAGAACGAAACCCTAAATTGTTTACGCTCAATTTCGGAATCTTTTTTCTCCGTTTAAGGTAATTACGCATCTCCCTTCCTTGGTTGGCTATATCTAATTTCGTTTCTTCCACACCATCTACTGTTCTGTAGCTAATTCTTCGACACATAAAAAATGTGTTGTGGATGAAGAATCCATAGATAGGAATGTTTCACTGATTCAATGACACACGCTCTTTTTCCTCTAAGAAGTTTTAGTTTACTATGGTTTTTGGATGATCTGGTGTTGTGGTATAATGGCATATTCAATTTTCTGTAGCACAATGCTTTTTTTGCCAGGAGTGCATCTATAGATTTCCTTAAACGACATTGGCGGAGCCTTCAGGTTAGGGGCGGGGTTTACAGAATTTATGTTGAGGAGCCAAAAATTAAATTTTCAGTATATTTTGTACTGTATAAATATTTATACACATATATTTACATCACACTTTTTTCATAGGCGGTCCTCTCCCGCCCCTCCCTATCTCCACCACTGGTCACCGGTCAATTTCAGTCTGTTTTTGTTTCAATCGGTTCAGATCCCCACTTGAAAGGACCTTAATTTGAATCTGGTAACAGGTATTGCGCTTCATGTCCTATTAAATCTGCTGACTGCTGGCCAGAAAACTTTTGGAAGTAGAACCAGAACCAAACATTGTAGTCCATGGCCAGACCAACTAGTATTTGCGCGCTCCTACACTAGTTCCAAACTACAATTTACGTTCATTTTCGGGCAAAAAAGTTGGATGGTCTTGGTTCTGTTTTCAACCCAATGCGCCACACAAGAACTTCTAGTATACTAGCTTGAAATGTAATACTCCGTACTTGCTATGTCCGTAATTTAAAATGTAAGTTTGACTGGCACAAAGTCTTGGAAAAGGAATACTGTGTGGTTGAATGTTTTTAGAAGATAGAGATATAATATAAATTACAAAATGCTTTCCTTAAAAAGAAATGATGGACAATTTTGGGACATACATAAGACTATAAGAGAGAGAGAGAGAGAGATAGAGTGGATAGTTTAGGGATGGAGGTAGTAAAAAAATGTCTTAGATAATTTCATCATCAATAGTAGCAACACTTCATTATAGTACAATCAGATAATTTATTTTATTTTTAGTGCATGACGTTATTTTAGATTGGTTTTTTGAAAAAAAAAACAGAACCAAAACATTTTTTATATGAGCTTGGACTTTTTGGAGAAACAAAAGCTGAAACAATTGAAACTGTGCATTGTGGTTCAGGAGAAGACACTTTCAATTGCTGTGACTGAATTTGATTGACAAGGCTCCGAGTCCAAGCTCTTAGGGCAGAACATGACAGAAGAATTTGATTTAGTAGATGGAATATCTCTTGAATATATAATGTCTGTAGATTCCAATGAAGAGCAGAAGAGAGCAGAACAGCAGATGTCTAGAGAAAAAACAAAGATGGGGGGAGTATCCTTCTGCCAAAGACATGACTAATTCTGCGGTCGAATGTTCAGCAGAACCTCTCAAAGAGTTGCAAGTTTGGTCTCAAAATTGCCAAACTCTCAGGACCATGGGATATTAGTCATAACATTTGAGTCTTCTACAGAGCATGCAATATTATTACCCACTGGACATATCTTTACGGATTCCATCATAGATAAAAAGTTGCCCCTCATAAAAAAGAAAGATAAAAAGTTGCCATTAAAAAATGTGGGTGAGTTCCACTACAAGTGCCATCTGAAAACAAGGATACATCTTCTCAAGTTGAGAATTCAGCAGAACCACCAAGCGATATGATTTTTGAAGGGTTTTGGTGTAGTATTATTAAACAACACCTCACCTGGGACAAGAAGACCAATAGACCTTGGTGCAAAAAATAAGGAAGGTGGAGTAGCTTACTCTTTGAAGGGTGAAGTAGAATTCTTTTTCCAGTCTGATGGCTCCTTTGCATCTGGGAAAGCACATGTGTAGATGTCGGATTACACTGTTGCTGGATTTACTCATGTAAGTTTCTTCTTTATAGTCATTGCATGCTTTGCCTATAAAATTTTGAGTTTATGATTTACTCTACAAGTCATCATACAAGCTTCAGCCTTTTCAATGTTTGCCAATCCATCTCCATTGTATTCTTTAACCCTTCCCATAAAAATGTAAGGTTTCGAATACTATTTTTTAGTCAGCTTGATAAAACAGAATTACTTGTTGTGTGAATGGTCAAAAGAGTCATAACAGATTCCGTAGGATAACTTAGTTAAACCTGCAAACTTACGGAGTAAAAAACAAGTATGACTTGTGAGTTATGATAATTGTACTTTACCAAAGTAATAAGTTGTAGTCAGACTTGACTCTTAGTTTTGGACAACTGTATGCTTCATTTTGCAATATTAATGTGTTATTTTTAACCTGAATCTGTAAGATTGCATACTGGCATCTTAATCCTTTAACATATGCAGGAAACATACAGAATTGCCTCTTCTGACTCGACCTTCAAAGGTTATGAAGATAATTCTGCCTTTAAAAGAAGAAAGCAATGTGACCAAGCTGCTCTAAAGTGATCTCATCAAGCTCCAGTAGTGCTCAACCCAAAGTGTATCTTCTGCACTACATTATTTCATTATCAGCTGATTCAGAAGCAAGTAATAGATTGACAAAACACTGCTTGACAAGGGATATAACCTTAAAGAAGTTGCCCTTCCATACAGGAACTTACTATGTTTTTCACTTCTAAAATGATAATATGATATTTCATATATAACACAGGGGGTCCACAGGTAAAAAAATGGTTTTAAACTACGTTGTGGTTCTTTCACCATTCATGATCAGAAACAAAAAAAGCCACACCTGCAGACCTGCTGCTGAGAAACGTCTCAATGGTAGATGCATAAGGGTTACAATAGAGTGATAGAATGGTAAAGAAAAGCATATTACCAGCCCATAATCCAAACATAGATCCAATGCTGCCATTGAACAGGCATCTAATCAAAGTTCAGGTAGTCAGAAGCCAAAGAAGCATAAAATCCAAGTTGATAAGAAGAAAAGCTCTCTGCCAGCACTAAGTAGCATCAGATTAAATGTTTGAACAGAAACTCATGTGTGTGCCATCAACATTTGACAAGCAACTGTCACACCCTCCAACTCGAACTCCATAATGTAGTGTAGAACTAGGCTACCAATTATGGTTGGTACTTTGGTCCTATTGAAGGGCAAAAGGCAATCCTAAATATAGTTACTATATAATATAAATGCAAACTTAATTTCTTATTACATAACCGTCCCACCTATTAAATGATGTCTTTGTGAAGGAATACAGGTTAATGCAGAAAACAGATCTGCAAATCTCCATCTTTTTCACTAGCAACTCAGTTGATTTTGGATGCAGATGTGGTGTTATTGTATCCTTTTACTTTTATACCTCATTTTTAAAATTTTGTCTGAATATTTTCTGTGCGGTTTTACCTTTTATATTCAGTTAAATTCTGGAGGATTTTATTGCTGCTAAACATTACCCAAATCTTGTTTGGTTGAAAGTTAATATATGACTTTTACGGATATGATTTTTGCGGAAGTAAACAAATAAAGCTTTCAGATATCTTACGAGTGCAGCTGAAGGTATGTATCTTCTTTGTATTTATGAGCTGTGAAAATGGTTTAAAGTCTTTCATCTTGTTCCTATTTACCAGGGGTGTAATTATTCCTCATGCAGAAATGACACGAAGGATTGATCTCATTTCGTCTTTTTTTATCCTTTTATTTTTTTAGTTTTTATTTTTCTTACGTTAAATCCTTTTATCTTTTTTATCTTATACTCCGTATATTTTTATCTTTTTTATCTTATCATTTCTATCTTTATCATATACGTAGTATTTATATTTATCTCATCTTTATCTTGACTTTATCTGTTATCTTTCTTATCTTTCTTATCTTTTAATTCTGCCTTCTCTTTGGTACTCTTATTAAGTTTCTTTTTAGGCATTTGCGCGCACACACACATAATATATATATATATATATATATATATATATATAGAGAGAGAGAGAGAGAGAGAGAGAGAGTAAGGATCATATGAGAACACCATCTTAGGAGAGAAATGAGAATGATTCTGGAGCGTTAGATTTCGGTGTCGTGCATCATGTAAGACATAAAAGTGCATATGAAAATTTGGAAAACGTGCATTTCAACTGTGCAAAAGTTTAAACGTAAATGTGCACATTAGAATATTGTATTATTTTAACTATAAATGTGCATTTTCATGAACGGTAAAGTGCATCGTTTTGGAGCGTTCTCATTTCTCACGTTAAGGAGTGTTCTCAACTGAACCTCACCCTATATTTATATATATATATATCAACAAAACAATACCTTTTATTCAAGGCAAAATGAGTATAATACGTTTATTCTAGGGAATATTCATGGTACGTAAGTGCGTTTGTTGTTTTGTACTAGGGAACATTTATTCTGTGTAACATGTATGGTCCGTTTGTAACATAAAATAGGGAAGTGATAATTTGAAAGGAAAGGTGGCATTGAAGAAAAAAGATAATTTAACTACATAGAACTAAAACATAACTGGATAATTATAAAAACTTGCAGGCTAGGACTTTTAAATACATGATGATGTGACTAAAATACTCTCATTCTAAAATTATTATCCACAATTGATTACTATATGGTCATCAACTTTATTGACTGCCACCACAGCTGACGCCAGATGAACGCCACCATCACCAGGAAATTTCCCAGAAAATTGCCAAACAGAAAAGTTGTTGGAAAAAGTCACCGGAAAGCTAACGCCGGAAAAAGTCACCATAAAACCACCACTGATCACCAGGCACCATCTGCCACTGCACAGCCTCCAACTTCGTCAATTGCAGTGAAATCTGTATTGACAAATGAGTTTAAGTATATAAACTTTTATGAAGAAAGCATAGATGTACAACTCTATTTGAGGAAAATAAAATGTCTTTGAGGTTAGAAAGTTTACTGCGGATTGATATTCTACAACAATTAGAGCTTAAGGTTCAAGTCAAGCTCTTCTGATTCTTGAGGACTAAGTTGAAAACTTCCAGACCATTTCAAGCCTCCCTCCTCCTCCTCTTCTTCCCCCTCCTTCGGGTTGGACTGCCATGCCATTCTGAACTGAGCATAACCAGGCTGTCTAAACCTTGCTGCAGCCTTGCAGTCATCTCTAGTTTGTTTATGCATAGTAGGTGAGGGAGGGACCAAAGCCATTCTTTCTCTTTTGTGAGCATTCTGGTGGCCACCTAATGCCTGGGAGCTGTAAAATTTTCTCCTGCAGTAGTTGCATGAGAACAGCTTCACAGAGACCATGGGTCTGGCTGTCACCAACTCTGGTTCTGAAGTGGCTTTTCTTCCCAAGCTCAAACTCAACCACTCCCCTGGACCAAGTAACTGATCTTCACTGCATGCAGCATCCTCACTTCTCATTCTGCAACTGTGATTGATTATCTTAACTGTTTCTTTAGTTCTGACTTCTGAGTGTAAGCTTGGGGGTGGTTTCTGTTATTCATAATACCACATTTTTGTTCGTGTTAATAATCCTGAAGTCGAGTGGGTAGGAAGCATAATGAATCTGGAACCCACCAAGACTAACTGGCTTTGTTTTTTTGTTACTTGAAAAGAATGGGGGAACAAAGAGTTTCACTCAGAGTGTATGTGTTGGACAGGTTGGTGGCAGTGCTGTGTGTTTGATTTAGTGTCTCCTGATGAAGTGGTAAGGTCCAAAATAGTTGGCATTTTGTTTTGCCAATAATGGTGATGAAAAATACAAGGCAGGGGAATGGTGACTGAGACATCATTTCTTTTCATTATGTAATATTTATGCTGAATAATAACAATAAAAATCTTCAAGTATGACTGGTTTTCAACATGAGTATCTATGTGGGTTTCTTTCGAAACCCCATGGTGGATTGGTGGACCCTCACTCAGTCACTCCACAGCCCAAACAACCCTATCATGAAGTACTTCTACTACTATATAGTAATTATTATTATTATTATTATTATTATTATTATTATTATTATTAATTATTAATTATTAATTATTACTATTATAAAAATATTACCTAAATTATTATGAGTGTAATACCATGATCAGTTAAATGTAAAAATTGGACATAAATACAGAGGCGGATCTAGGAATCTGACATGCCCTAGGCTGAATAGGATTTATACTAGGCTGAATACTAGCGGAGTTGGCTAAATATGAAAAATGAAAAATTTTACACTAAAAAAATTGAACATTTTCTAAGTTGTCTTGGGCTTCAGTCTACCATAGCCCGTACATAGATCCTCCCCTGCATAAATACCTACAGAGTATAACTAAAGTTATTATTTATTAGTATAGTCACCATACTTAGTATGTTACATTTTTGTAAAAGACCTTTAATTTATTTAATCATAAATGTGAGGTTATTTCTTTTATTATTATTATTATTATTATTATTATTATTATTATTATTATTATTATTATTATTATTATTATTATTATTATTATTATTATTATTATTATTATTATTATTATTATTATTATTATTATTATTATTATTATTATTATTATTATTATTATTATTATTATTATTATTATTATTATTATTATTATTATTATTATTATTATTATTATTATTATTATTATTATTATTATTATTATTATTATTATTATTATTATTATTATTATTATTATTATTATTATTATTATTATTATTATTATTATTATTATTATTATTATTATTATTATTATTATTATTATTATTATTATTATTATTATTATTATTATTATTATTATTATTATTATTATTATTATTATTATTATTATTATTATTATTATTATTATTATTATTATTATTATTATTATTATTATTATTATTATTATTATTATTATTATTATTATTATTATTATTATTATTATTATTATTATTATTATTATTATTATTATTATTATTATTATTATTATTATTATTATTATTATTATTATTATTATTATTATTATTATTATTATTATTATTATTATTATTATTATTATTATTATTATTATTATTATTATTATTATTATTATTATTATTATTATTATTATTATTATTATTATTATTATTATTATTATTATTATTATTATTATTATTATTATTATTATTATTATTATTATTATTATTATTATTATTATTATTATTATTATTATTATTATTATTATTATTATTATTATTATTATTACTATCATCATAATTATTAGTAGTAGGACTACTGTTGTTATATACTACGTATATTATTATTATTTGTTTTTTATTATAGTAGGACCTTTAATTATGATTATTATAATCACCCCTCCTGAAGTTTATTTTATTATTGTTAGTAATCCTTTAATAATAATAATATATTAATTATTATTATTATTATTAATTATTATCACTCTCTGTAAAGGTATGAAGGCCTTAAAATGAGGTCGGTGATGGGAAGCCCGGACGGAGGGGTGTGGACGGCTAGCCCCCACTGTATGCCTTGGAATGAAGTGGTTGATCCAGATGACTTTGTAAACTTGGCCCCCCTTCTAAAGTATTGTAAAATGAAGTATCAATTATGAAAACTCAATAATGCAAACTATTCCGTAATATTTATCACTAAAATAATTTTGCACATTTTAATGAAGTTGTAATGGATGTTGACATGTAGGTTATTCAAAATAGTGAAATTAATATTCTACTGTTATAATATTAATAGCAAAATTCTATAAATATGATTAAAAACATTTTGAAATTCTAAAATATTACTGTCATGTTTTTATTTAATGAGTAATTATTGTCAATTTTGAAAAATATTGTCATGTTTAAAAAAATTTAATGCCAAAATTGACATGACAGATTGACAATAATTACTCCTAGTTATAGAATAAAATTATGACAATTATTTAAAAATTCACAAATATTTTTGTTGTTGTCCATTTGCTATCGTTACTTCGACTTTCTGATGCTAATATACTGAGAGACTCAGAGCTATGATTTTTTGCCAACCTCTCATTTCCAATTTCAAAATTAGTTTCTTCAAAACTAATTTCAAAACTTATACAATGTAACTTTAAGAGTTTTGTTAGGTGTACACATTTTATGTACACAACCCATTTTTCTAACTTTAATGTAATAATAACTCTTATAACTTTAAATTTACTCGTAAATTAATAATACGGAGTATATGATACTACCTATTGTTTGACAATACTTTAGTACTTTACACATTACCAACTACGTACATGAATATATATGTAACGAAAATATTACGTACTACATAGTACTTTGTACCACTTCTTAGTCTATAAACACGTACAGTTATTTAATTCGTAAGGAACTAATTAATACTGGAGTACTATATAATCAAATGAAACATATTTTAATTGGAATCTCATTTATATTTGACGGTTTCTGTAAGCTTTTAATAAGTTGAACCAAACAATGTGTAGTTAAAAATGACTATATACGGAGTATTATTTTCGTCATATGTTCATATATTAATGTGATACCGAAGATATATGGTACGGGGTATTATTGTTGATATATATCGTGCAAGGAACACTTTCGGGGTAATTTGGAAGTGGGCTTGGGTATGCTTGCAACAGCTTCAGCTTTTAAAAAAGTGTTTTTTTAATGAAATGAGCAGAAGTGATTAAATTAAAGTTGATAGTGTTTGAGAAAAAAGTGATTTTGAAAAGTAAAAGTGGGTAGTGTTTGATAAAAATAAGTGTTTTTTGTGTAACAGAAAAAGTAAAAACACTTTTGACGCGGAAGCCGAGAAAAATAAAAGTTGTAGTGTTTGGGAAAATAAGTGTTTTTTTAAAGACAAAAGGTGAGAAGTGCTTTTTTAAAAGCAGTTGCAAACCAACCCTTTGAACGATTGGATCATTTTTCAGAGTTTGAGATGCTCAATAAGTAGAATTTTCATTTCTTAATTTCTTTGATTTGTTGTTTATCCTTCACTAACTTAGTTGTTCTCTAATTTTCTTCCTTCATTTGCATTTGTACTGTTTTTTTTAAATGCATTTGTACTGTTTTAATAAATTTAATAAAATATTATTTTTGCTTAATATATAAGAAGTATATATATTAGTGTTGTTCTAGTGTAAACACTCCTTAACATGAGAAACAAGAACGCTCCAAAATAACGTACTTTGTTGTTCACGTAAATACACATTTATAGTTAAAGTAATGCAAAATAGATTTAAGTTTAAATTTTTGCAAAGTTGAAAGACACATTTTCCAATTTTTCATATGCACATTTCTGTATTACATGATGCATGATATCCAAATCGAACGCTCCAGATCATTCTCATTTCTCTCATAAGATGCTATTCTGATATGATCCTTGCTATATGTGTGTGTGTCTATGATTGTTGACTACGGCGGAGTTATAACACTGAATCGGTACAAAGAATACTTTTGGGGAAAAAATTACACAGGAATTTTAACACTAAAAATATAGACTTTTTAAAATTTGGGGTGGGTCGGGATCAGAGTCAGCCCCCTAGTTATACCTTGAAAACAATTTATTTTAGCTTTACTAAGATTTCCTACACGGGCAAAAGTAGTATTGAGGGTATATCATACTCCCTCCGGTCCTTATTAAAGTTCTCACTTTCCTTTTCGGGATATCCTTTATTTAAGTTCACACTTCCATTTTAGGAAACAAAATAGTGCAAAACAGTGCAAAACAGTGCACTCCACAATAAAGTCAAATTTATTTTCTTAATCTGTGTGAAGTCAAACTCAGAACTTTAATAAGGACGGGAGGGAGTATTAGCATATGAACAGCCAACTCTACAAAATCCTTAAAGCCCATGACGTCAGAGTTCAGACCAAAGGTACTAATTGCCAACTGGGAAAAAACAATAACAGGTCAAAAGGGCATTAATAATTTAAGTAATTTGGATACCAAATAATTAAGGAGAATCCCTCTAGCTATTAGTCCAAACGATTGCCTTTCTAATGTCCTGCATTGTTTATAAGTGGACGAAAACTACAGCCTTATCCTTTTGGTAAGGATGGAAAATGATTCTATTGGAAAAGGATTGTATGGGCTTCTATCCGTATATATGTCCGCGCTATCTTCTAAATTTCTAATAATAATTACTCAATTTAACCCTCTAATCCTGATATATAAGTGCCTCATTCCAAAAGATGGAACGGCCACCCCAAGTGCCTCCACACCTGAACACCCGATTAGGATGTCAAAAAAACCCGACCGGCAATGACCTGCCCTGGCCAGAGACATTTGAGGCAGGTCCGCCCCGCCCTATCTTGTAAATGGGGCGGGTCCGCCCCGCCCCGCCTATACAATGGGGCGGGTCCGGGTATTAGAATTGACCCGTGCCGCCCGCCCCGCCCCGACCCGCTCAATATATAAGTATACATACTTTTTTCTCAAATTATACTACAAATATACTTCAACATACATATGTGTGTATACAATAAATCATAAATTCTTTGATCTTATAATATATGAATATATATTAGAATGAGATGCACGACGGATTATCAATGTCTTCTAATATAGAATTTTAATACATATATTCAATTATGAATATAACTAATTGGATTAACTATTCAAGTTTGAGTAATTTTTCCTTAATTTTTGAAAATTTTAGCGTATCATGAATTTGATTTAATATATTGATTTTTAATTATTATTTAGAGATAAACATTATGTAGATTCAATTGGTAACAACTTTCCACAAATAAAAATACATACTAGCTAATTAGGTTGCGCCGGGGCGGACACGCCGCATGGGGCGGGTCATGGGTCAACAAGTTTGGACCCGTGTAGGTCACAGGACGGGGCAGACCCGCCCTGCCAAGTCACGGGGCGGGTCCGGGTCTTGCAACACCCGCCCTGCCCCGACCCATTGCCATGCCTATACCCGATCACCTGAATACAAAAACCAAGGCCCCACATTAATACAAAAAAATGCAATCTAAATACTTATTATAACAGGTACGTTATAATATGGGGCCTCGATATCCGTAGAAACTCATCTTTTTCCCAGTTTTTCCATTCCAATGGGTAAATTTCGAGAGTCAATTTCTCATTCACCCGTTATCCGTTTTGAGCGTACCACATATCGAATTGTAGCCCCTAACAAGGACAATCTGAAATCACTTTGAGCCGATCCAAATCGGAAGTGAACCCCACTCAAAATATTGCCCCAAAATTACCATTTAATGCAATTTTTAACACATTTTTCCAACATAAACAACTTTATTTTTTCACTTAATCATATTTTACTCCTATTATAGAATTATCTCTTTAAAATTAATTGCATGTCTAAAAAACTGAGTACTGTTTTTTTGTAAAGGTATTTTAAGTATTGTTGAGGGACACGTTTTAGTTGTAAGATTATTTAAGATTTTTTTGGGTGATAATGACACAGAAGTTGGGACAAAAAAATCAAGTTATGAGCAAGATCGAATAGAGGTGCTCAGAAGTTTGTCATTGGTAAATATGCAAGTTGTGTTATATTTTGACTTAAGATTTGCGTATTTGGACAAATAAAAATATTCGTACAGATCCTCCATGAAGATTTTATTGTTTTTTTTACCATGTTTCGTGATGCTATAGATAGCAAATGCATACATGAATATAATGGTGGTGTTTTTCTTTCCTGCCATGCATTATCAGAGCTAAATGTATACAACGATCGCTCACAGAGTCACAGCTACCATCTTATTTAGTTTTAATTTGACATGCAATTGTCAAAGTTTCTGCTAATTTTAAAATATTATTCAGATTATAATTTATATATAGGTGTTCAAATAAAAAAGTGCCACCAAAATAGATATGGAGTATGATACAAGATTTATGATTTAATGACGCTAAATATACAAATAATGCGTTAAATTGGATAAATGTGCGGCAATATTTTCGAAATATTATACTTAATATATATGTACATGTAGTGATTATAATCAAAATTTATATCATAATATAAAATACAAACTAATAAGAATAAAAATATAAAATAATCATTTTCAAGAAATTTAGTCTTTTTTTTTACCCCGGAAGGCAAACCACCAAAATCAATGAGGCAAATGCCCAGATTTTATTAGATAAATAAGAAAATATAAATGAAGGGGGGACTAGACCAAAACCCCCTCCGAAAAGAAATTTAGTCAGAAAAATAAATTCATGATTACTTATTTTGATTCTTATACCATTAAGTATTGTATCAAATCAAAAGTCTAACTAAAGTCTAAGTTACAAAATTATACTCGATATTACTAAACGAGCTCTTGGATGAAGTCTCATATTGATGTTGGGGGAAACCATTAAAGAAATTAAGAGCTTATAAAAATGAGAAGCTTGAAATTTACGTCTGTTTACTTTTAGAATACAAAAGTTTTTCAAAATATTATTAAAATAAAATTTATGGATAAAATGTGATTTTAGAAGTTATTTTAGCTAAATCAATATGGTTATTATGGTCAATGTAAAATCTGATAAAATCACAATCACTAAGAATCAGGTTGAAGACCCCCTTTTCAGCTCATCAATCTTACCTATCAGCATTTTTGCTATATACGCCCTAATTTTTTCGCGCGCTGAATTGCATAATGATTAAAATAAATAAGGTGTGTACAAAAAAGTTAAAATAGGTATGGTTGAAATTACTTTTCTTGCTGAAGTTGATTATTCTAGAGAATCTATTTTTTCATATATTATTTTCTTTATTTTATTAATAAAATATACTTTGAATACCATTTTTCATAATTTAACATATTCAACTAATTCAGACGCTTCAAATAGTATTTCATCAATTTCAGCATATCTAATCAATTCGGCCAATTTCAATTATTAAGGGGTTTTCTCATGAATATCACTAAAACGAAGTCATTTTCCAAAAATGTTACTCCGTATTACTTTTAATATTCATCAAAATGTTCCTAATAATTAAGGTCATATATTTGAAAAAACATGTCACTGCAAAAAAATTATGTCATTGTATTTTTTCCATGTCACTAAAAATTTTCATTGTCGGATTTTTCATGCCCACGACCCTGCCACAGTGGCAACACCGCTTAGTCTTAGACTGGGTCCGGGTGGCCCGACTCGATACTGGTCCGGGACCGGTTTTGCGGTACTGGAACCGACCCGGTAACTGATCGCTTTATTAGCGTGACAAGACCGGGCTTTAATATTTGGGACCAGACCGCCCGGTCCAGGGCCCAGTTTCAATCCCAACAACCATTTTTTTATTTTTTTGAACAGAAGAGGTACCCGGACCCGTGACCCGCCAGGGTACCTGGATCGGAACCGATATCGGACCAAACCGGGTAGGTATCAGGCTTTACTATTTCAGAACCGGGATTGGCCGTTCCCGAGATCGGACCGGTCCGAGTCCATACCTACCGCCACCGGTGACACCACCACCGGTGACACCGCCATTGGGAGTTGGGACACTTGACTCTGGCCACCGTGACACCGGACTCCAAAAGTAACTAACTCGGAAAGGAACATCCTCTCCGTGGTGCACCATATATGCCATTTCCGCCTAACCCGAATCTCTTGAGTCTATACTAAGCATGTCTTTGAGCTTGCCTACCTAGAGAGTAAACCAAAGTCCTCCCTCCATACTCGCTCTAAAATGCATGTCCTAAAATATTGTAGACCTTACATGGAACTATCCGTTATTTAGCTTTTCTCAATCAAAAGAGTGTAAAGTACTTCTATGAAACAATATCAAACATCATTTTAAAAAGGGGAAATTGTCAAATACCGAGTACAACGCAAGTCCTCATATTATAATATACAGAAAATCAATTAAGCTCCCATATTTTAATGTTAAATAGGTTATATCTTCAAAGAATGTAAATTTGGTCAAATCTGACATTTACAGGTAATCACCCAGCTAGCAAGTAATCTGCTGACACAACAAACTCATGTCTGTCCGGTGGCGCACACATGACAACCCAAATCACATTTGTCTTGTTCTCTTCTCTTCTTTTTCTTTATTCTTTTCCTACCTGGTATTCTTCCATATTACGCAGTTTGTGTTTAAATTTGTTTATTGTTCATTTCTTTTTTTATTTGAAAATGTAATAACCAATTAAATGCAGAACGACTTCTAAAATTTTGTTTATCTTCTTAAATTCCTTTCTAGCAGATTTCAAAATAAAGATATAGGAGTACCAAAATAAATCAAGTAAAACATTCTCATTTGATCTAAATTATATACTCCGTAATTATATAGTCCGTATATACTAAAGAGGAAATGTCATTGGACAGCAATTCGTCTTCGTTTGAAGGATGCCATATTGGGGGCAACAACAACAATGTCCTTTCTCGGTGAATAATGTCTTAACTTTTCCAGTCTAAGAGGCCTACCCTTAACTTGAAGACCAACTTCTCTTGTATATATACTACCCTGAGGATGATGACTCTGGCCGTGGCCGTGGCCGTGGCGATGGCGGTGATAACGAGAATGATGCTGGCTGTGAAGTCTACGTTCCCCCGTCCTCTTGATCATCATCTTTCTCTTTCTAGACACCCTTACATCGCCTCCATCAACAAATGAAGAGTCACCATCGAGACTGAAGGAATTATCTCCAGATTCAACATCTATGAAGCGCCGCCGTCGGCGGTGGTGACGATCCACACGCTGAACATTGATAAGTTTATGCCAGAGGAAACACATTAAACACCCAACGGATGACCAATAAGCCTTACACGCTGAACAATACATTCCGCATATAGTTTTCCCTATGCATTGGCATATCCCCAGTTTGAAGAACATGTAGAGAAACAGTAAAGCTGCCCAAGGAGAACTATTAGTTTCACTCAAATGGGAAATATTAGAACCTCAAATCTCTATAAAATATACTAGTAATTCTATCTAATTATTCTGGATTTCACACTTTTCACTATAGACTTTGACTGTTGATATATTTTACTACGTATTTAATTGGTTATTCATAAAATTATAAAATCTAATATGACTAATTGGTGAATGCTGTAGTACTACATAAATAAGTATGGCAGTTGTATCCACAATGCATTTGAGTTGGTCCAAATCATTATTTGATCATTTGTTTATGTTTGAACTACTCAATTGTAATATTCTAGTTGATTGTATGTCCCATTCATGACGGATTTTAGTTTGACAAATGAGTTTGAATACAATGAAAATAAGATACATAAAAATATAATTATAGAACAAAAGTAAACAGATTAATTAATGAATAGTAAATTGGAACTATGCGGACACAAAATATTTTTAAATACATTACTGAATAAAATGTAGTTAGTAAAAGTAAAAGTGATGCAACTTTAAAGAAAAGAGAGGTGTCTTTTTATGAAATACAATAAAACTGAAACTGCACAAAATGTAAGGCTGAGAGGCTGGGAATTACTTATGTAGCAAAGCACCAGAATCATAAATAACTTGATCAAATCCGAAACACAAAGGTGAGTGATGAAACACGACACATCCCAAACTCCGCTGCAAACATCTCTGCAAGATCCGTAACAGGTTAACAGGGGAAACATAATTTAATACAATACTCAAAGCGGAATTCATTGCATAACAATTTTATTTCTGGAGGATAAAAAAGTCATACTCGCAAGATCCTTCAAGCATAGCCTTGAAGGGAGTGGCGAGGGCATTTCCGAAGCCATCAGCAGCCTTGCTCAGAACACTGCCCATCTTCTCTTTAACACTAAACCCAAAAGAAGAAGAAGAAATTACTAATTGATCACAACTCCATATGCACTATGAAGTGTCTGCATCTCCATGAAGTATTTCAGAGGAACTGATAGAGAAGAAGCATTTCTTAGAGGATATAATTGTGAATTCATCATTCTTTTCTCAGGTTAAGAAAATATCATTTTAAAACACAACACGCTACGAGATGATAAAAAGTCTAGCAAACTAAGAGAGATGATTTTCAAGGAACATCCATTGTACATTTTGCAATCATTCCATCAAGTTCATACAGTATGTGTTTAATAGTTTTGCAATATTTACTAATATGTTTAAGGAACTACCTCACCGTCCAAATGTTTTGGACTTTTGGCCAAATAAATAGATTGATATGTATTTACTATATGCATAACATATTTCTTAACAAAATAAATTTATGATTTGCTCTTGAAAAACTATGCCTTATGTGCTGGTAACGCATTTGAGAATAAACAACAATGCCATGCTCCAGTACATTTCATGACCATATATTTTGTTTTGTATGAAGGGTGAAAAAAATAAACTCTATTGTTTAACCAAGCTGTCCTTAGTTTCTTAAGAATATGTTTTCCAAGATATATACATAAATGATAAATTATAAATGGCTTTGAAACAACCTAATGGTGAAATTATGAAAACTAACTCTTGAAATTCAAATAATTTTGTAGGAAAGAATTGAAATAAACCATCAAGAGTATTATTTTTATTTCAGTATAAACAAAATGATTTTGGGGTCAGGCTAATAGTTTTCAATCATTCATCATTCCATCTTATCATAAATACTTCGTATGTAACAAAATCTAAAAAATCAAATTGGCTTTAAAATGATGCTTCAGTATCCAAAATAGGTGGCAAGTTTATATACGAGTAAGTTTTGGAAACTAAAAATCTAGCAAATGAATAAACATATTTAGAGTGTGATTTATAACTTGCAGAGTACAAGTTTCTTAAAATAAAAACATTATTTTTTTCTGCCATTTTAGGATCTCAGGTTTTTCTGAATGGATCTGATCATCTAATGTCGCATGTGAATGAATCAAAAAGCTTTTTAGATCCGATCAAAATTACAAAAAAAAAAAAACAATGTGAAAATACTAATAGTAATTGCCTATCAGAGTTTGTTTAGGCTTCACCAAACACCCATATCATTAATTTAACTAAATATTTATAAAAAACTATGAATTAAAACAATTAATGAACTAATCAATAAAGGAGTGGAGGAATACCGGAACTACTGAAGGTGAATATTGAGAAGGGCCAATTGGCCAAACCGCCGAACGGAGTGCAGGCTACGGGCGTGAGGCGACGAATGAAGAGGCGTGCGGCGGTTCTGGCTCCTGGAGGAGTGGCGGTGCTACCGCGCTGCGTGCTGGCGCCTGCCGGAGGGTGAAGCGGCGAATGGAGTCGGCGACTTGGAGGGGCGCGTTCTACACTTCGACCGTTTAGTTCAAGTTTGAATTACTCCCCGCCTTTTATGATTATGGGCCTTTGGGCAGTTGGCCTGATATAACTTTACACCGGCAGATAAATCAGCCGACTTATATCTATGTACAAAGATAAAATACTAGCCCAAAACTAGTATTGTACTCCTCCGTCCCGGATTGTAAAACATGTACGGTTTACGATGTTTGACTAATAATAAAAGAGTCAATTCCCTAAATAGGACTAAAAAGTGGCAAAATTGCACAAATAGGACTACATTTTTTAAATTCCCTTAATAGGACTATTTATGTGTGTTTGGACAAATATACCCTTGTAACTTGTGAAATGTTTTAATTAATAATAAAATCATAAAAACATTAATAAAAATCGAAAAAAATACTAAAAATCGTAAAACAATAATAGAAAATTAATAAAAATATTTTTAAAAAAAATAAAAAAAATATTTTTTTTAAAAAAATAAAAAATAAATAAAAAAAATCATAAAATTAAAAAAAAAAACATTACCACCCCTGCCACCCCCCAGCACTACCATCTCCCATCACCGGAGAAAAATATGCCAACATTTTAAATAATGCCATAATGATGGCATATTCAATGAAAATGTTGGCATATTGAAGAGTAATTATGCCATCTTTTTGGCATTTTCAGAAAAATATGGCATTTTTTTACCAAAAGTGGAAGAAATTTCACCAATCGGAGGTGGTGGTGCTGGGAGGCGGCGGGAGGCGGTGAGAAAGGTATCCATAATTTTTTTCATTTTTTATGGGATTTTACTATTTTTTATTATTTTTTTAAAAAATTAAAAAAATAAAAAAATAAATTTTTTATTTTATAAATGTTTTATAAATTTTTTATAATTTTTTTACGTTTTTTAAATATTTTTTACGTTTTTTGTGATTTTATTATGAATTAAAGCATTTCATTATGAATTAATACTCTTAGGGGTATTTAGGGTAGAAAATCAATGTTTAGTCCTATTTAGGGAATTTTAAAAATCGTAGTCCTATTTGTGCTTTTTAGGAACTTTTTAGTCCTATTTAGGACAATTTCCGATAATAAAACAAATTGATCCCGTCAACACTCAAATTAGTTTTATAAAATAAAATTTACATATTCATAAACTACATTAAACCCGTTACAAAACGTGCAAAAAAAATAAATCATGTTTTATAAAATGTTGATATATAAAGTAAGATATTACAAATGAATAGGAAAGATATCTTACAAATGGAACTGAGGGAGTATTACTATGTATAATAACTATAAATAATGGTGCCAAACTAACACAAGAAACATAAAAAAGGATGAAGGTAGTACAAAATTATAAAGGGAACATGGAAACTAATAATCCAACCTTTTAGCGGTCTTTTTACAATAGTCCCACCTTTTGATTATTCATGAATAATCCAACCTTTGCACCTCATCTTCATTCACTGGTCCCTGATCGGTTGATGACATGCTATTCCAAGTTATTTTCTTTATCTTTGCAAAATATTATCTTTGTGAAAGGTGAGATTTATGGTATAATGGTTTGCAAAGATAAGAAAATAACTTGGAATAGTAGGTCATCAACCGGTCAGGGACCAGTGAATGAAGATGAGGTGCAAATGTTGGATTATTCATGAATAATCAAAAGGTGGGACTATTGTAAGAAAACCGCTAAAAGGTTGGATTATTAGTTTCCATTTTCCCAATTATAAACTATACTACGTTTTTACATCTTCATTAGAAAAAGAAAAATCATGTATGAAAAAATGTTGATTCGGTGATTACTGATTATATATCTAATAACATTATATTTGTGATTATGAGTTGGTAACGTTGAAATTATCTACGTCCTCGTCCCTTACATTTTGATGAGCTCCATGGCTGCATCCCTCTAGTTTTGCATTCAATCTTTCGATCTTGGCTTCATAAATTGTAATAAATTGTAAATTTTGCATTAAATGAAATATTAAACCCTAATAATAAATTGTAAATTTTGATACACTTTTTTTTTGCAAATATCAAATTATAAAAATAAAAAGCTATAGCAATTTAATAATAATAAAAAAATTAAGTTGGGGTCCCAAACATGTAGCTTTTACTTTCTCCTGATTGGCTAGTGTCCTTTATGTTTTCTGATTTTTAAGAAAGTCTTAACTAAGTTGTTTTGTTGATTCTATTTGAGTGGTTGTTTTTAAATAAATTTTATAGTACTTACTGCGCCTTTATTGACACTTTCAGTCAATAAAATTACGCTATACAGAAGTTTTATTAATTACATTTATGTAATTAATAAAGTTTTATTAATTACATATATAACAATCATATCGTGATACTAAAGATGGTTTTTAAGAGCTAGATAAATAAATTAAACTGTGTCTAAATGATCATTCTTTTACTCATGCATGTAACTTTAATATAGTACTATTTGATCATAAAATTGAGATCATTTTTCGTTTCTAAATATGGAGCATCTTTCTTTTTTATTTTTCATTGCATAATTTGACATACTAGTATCTTTACCCGTACCGTGCACGGGATAAAATGATCTTATTTTTTAGTTTTAGTGTGTGTGTACGTGTGTATAGTACCGGTATATGAATGCATTATTAAGTAACAGAAAGTTGCTTATTCAATCGATTATAACATTTGTTGGTAATGCATATTCTCATTTATTGAGTACTTATTTTTTTAATTAACTATCTAAATATGTTCTTCGGCTATATTTTCCGATAAATAAAGAGATAATTTTTTCTAACGTAACTCTCAGTTGCATCCAAACGAAAATATTCTTCTCAACCAACTTTACCTAATAAAAAGGAGGGGGAATTTGACTTTGCACCCCATTTTTGGATGATATTGGACTTTGCACCCCATTTCGCTTCAAAATCCTTTGACTTTGCAACCCCATTTAGAAAATTTATTTCACAAATGTTACTCCGTATATGATAGGGTGCAAAGTCAAAGATTTTTTAAAATGAGGTTCAAAGTCCAATAGCACCCAAAAAGTGGGATGCAAAGTCAAATTCTCCCTAAAAAGAAAGTTGCTCAGTGCCCATTTTATCGATTATATATATTTAATTCGTGGTTTACTGTTTTTTCATAAAGGACTACATATTTTTCTAATTTACTTATTTAATAATGGGTGTAGTCATTCTTTAAATATTAGGCCTTCTAGATTTTAGGATTTAGCAAATTAGTCCTTCGATCGCTGTGAAGTTAAGAATATATAATTTTGTGACATTCCGATTTTAATGAAGGCGGTGGCTGCGACAATCGTTTCCATAACGTGATTGGTAGGGGTCAATTCATTTTCATTTGATTGGTTTATATCTTACTAAGTAAAATAGGGGTTATTGAACTAACAAAGATTTATGTTTTAGACTTTCAATAGACAATTTTGACCTCAAAGGTTACGAAGCAAATCTATAAAAAAAATGACATCAAGTGGTAGCTAATACTCCGTATATAACATCATTATAAACATGTCAAACTATTCAGATCAATTAAAAAAACAAGTGTCCCTTTAAAAAAATGAAAAATGATCTCAAATTTCATGACCAAATTGTACTATATTAAAGTTACATCGATCATTTACTAAAAGGATTACAAAGTACCATTTATAAACAATCTAGCTTATTTATCTATCTCCTAAACACCACTTTTAGTGTTAGGTCATAATTACTATATATATCATTAATAAAATTTTTAGGGAGTTGAAACTCTGAGCAGAAATATATCAAGATCATATTAATATATATACTAAAGTAAACAAATACTCACTCTGTCCTATTATTATTATTATTATTATTATTATTATTATTATTATTTCACTCTGTCCCATTATATTAATATATATATATATATATATATAGAGAGAGAGAGAGAGAGTAGCTCCATTGACACAATGTGCACTATGCACGTACATGTGGCATGAGAGAGAGAAATACATAAATATTAGTAAGCAAATTATATCTCTCCTTATATGAATTGTCTTATATGTTGATGATGCGTTTTTCTTCACAACGTCAAGAAAAATGTCTAGATGTAGACATTATTGAGAAAAAATTACCAAAAATATATAAAACCGTGGAATTAGTTACCAAAAAAGAGAAATGTCATTTATGTGTTTTTATATGTCTATCTCTATCATATCACATGTCACAGAGCACATTGTGCCATTAGATATGCTCTAAGATTCCCACTTTTCTTTTTAGATGTCTCATATAAATGTTTCATTTCTATTTTAGGAAACAATTAATACTCTTAAATGATAATTTAATTGTCAAATATTAAAAATAATGCATCTATAGCATCAGAATTATCATCAATGACCCCATTATATTATATAACCATCAAAACTATTTCTCAAAATATACTCAAAACCTTTTTAATTATTGTCTAAATAATTGTGCCATTTTCAATGAGAACCTATAAGTGGGATAAAACATAAATTTATAATTTGTGTTTTATTTTCTACAATATGTTCACTTCAAACAATGACATACTCAAATAGAGGGATAGTAAAGGAAAAATAATTTTACCATCTATCACCTATAAATCAAGACCTATTTTATTAATAATTGGAATGAAATTTTCTAATTTGATCTGATCTGGTTCGTCTGATAATCTGATATGGTCTTGTATAATTTCTAATCTAACCTGGAGTTCTAAATTTTAGGCAAGACTCCTTTAAATGTGTTTTTAATTGGAATGAAATGTTATAGTCTAATACGATAGTATAATTCAATGTGGTTTGATCAGATATGATTTTAAGGGTGGTATAGTTCTTGGCTAGAATACTAAGGGAGTGTTTGCAACTGCTTAAAAAAAAGCACTTCTCAGCTTTTGGCTTTAAAAAGCACTTATTTACCAAACACTACTAATTTTTACTTTTTCTCGGCTTGCGTGTGAAAAGTGCTTTTCCCTTTTCTATTACACAAAAAACACTTATTTTACCAAACACTACCAACTTTTACTTTTCAAAATCACTTTTTTCTCAAACACTATCAACTTTTACTACCAATCACTTTTTCCTTACTTCTCCAAAAGT